TATAAATATTAATTTTTTATTTCAAAAATAAAAAAATTCAATTGATCTATAATATTAATTATATTTTCAGTATTAATAAAAAATATAATAATATTTTATTTAGATTAAACATTTTATTTATTTGATTAAATTAAATTTTTTAATTTAATTTTCAAATAATTAAAATAATTAATCTATTTAGCAAAAATCAGAATACTCATTAGTGTTCGACCCCATATGTTCAACATTAAACCAGTAACAAATTGGTTAAACTAATTTACTAATTAAGATTGGTATCTAATAACACTTATCAATGACTGAATAGTATGAAATGTAAAATTACTTTCAAGAACCTACAAAAAAAATATATAATATTTCCTTCCGTCATTATTACTTCGGATTGACCCTAAAATATTGTTTAACCGTCAAATCTTAATAGGTAAACTATCTATGTTTCATGTCAATTATAATTGACTAATGAATGATATAAAAAATTCTTTTCTTCTTTCATTCAATTATTTTGGCTAAGATCTTAATTTAGTAATTACAATAAATGACAATATAGAGTTTAAACTTATTACCCAAGTTGACAGATTTCGTCTTGACCAATAATTAATTCTACAATAATTTAATCACACTCAATATCTTTTCAATTACAGTTCTATGACCATAGGTATTTAGAATCAAAGTATAATAAATGACTTATCAATTACCATGATGATCTTAAATCTAAGTAAATTCTTACATTTTATCAAAATAAGAGAATACTTTATTGACAGTTTAAGATAATATTAACTATTAAAGATTCTCAATTGGGTTAGTTCAATGATCATATCTCTATATACATCACCTATATATATGATTTAATTAATGAGATCAACTAATCTTTATTTTATAGAGATTATCACATATATATTAGTTTTACCGGATCATTAATGTCTCATTTTGATGATCTAACGACTAAAAATATTTTAAATTAAATTATAAAATATTTTACTCTCATTATCAAGATCTCTATCTTGATGTAAAATTACAAATTCAATTAAGAATTTTATCACATAAATTAAACGATATGATAATAAAATATTATTGTCATATATTAAACTAAATTGTCAAATAATAATGTATTCAATACATTACACGAATAATTGAATCGTTGGTATAACACTTATATTCCTAACAAATATATGTTTTGTTATCAGTTTAACATCCTGATAGAGCAATTCACTGGATAAGTTCCTATAAAAGTGACTTCAGATTTAAAAGCAATTTTTTGCCTGTAATCGCTGAGATCCTTGGTAGTATTCAGAATTTATAGAGTGAAAAAAACATAGGGAATCCAATTCGCGACTCTACTTTCCCTCCGTCTGCAATTCCATGGGATCACTTTCCAAATCATATCAGTTACAACTTTTACCACTTCAGCAAGTTCCATGGTCAGTGCTTTAAGCCACTTGGTTAGAAGCGGTGTAATTGCTGAAAAGATAGAGGTGAATATAATGATGTAGAGCCTTACGCTTTCAGGCGCAATAACCGACACTGCCGTGTTGTATGTGAAAAACATAGCAACCATGCAGATTTGAAGCTCAAACTGCAAAGAGAAATCTCTGGTGAGGATTTGATCATGAAGATAGATACCGAAAACCCAATTGAGTTGAAGAGAACAAAGAGGATAAATGTAACTCCACTGGATGTGCCCATAATAGACCACCCTGCAAAGTGTTCTCTGTCAACGCTGGTGCTACTGTTTCTGCCAGGAAGATTGTGATCGTGCCAAACACCTCCTGGAGGACTGAGCCCTACTTGGAAGGTTGCAGTTGCTACTAAAATGGCTATAACCAACAGTGTACTACGGGCTTCGCTTGGCGAGTCTCTGCCTTTTTTGAACTTGAAGTACTCAAGTGTATCCTTTAATCTGGATTGACTCCGCCGGGGTGCTGCAGGTGTGTTTGCAGCAGAATCGCTGGATTCGATGGAAGGGTTGGCAGAGACAGCAATGTCTTTTGCTCTTAGAGCTCCAGCCCCCCTGAGGATCTCCTCAATTTCCCTGTCACCGGCTTCACTTGGGAAAATCATTAGTAAATCCAGGGCAGTGAGATGAGTCTTGTTAATGGCATTTACTTCCAAAACTTGAGAGTTAGTGGTTCCTTTTCCAATCAACAATTCTATTATCTGCAAGAATCAAAATTTCCCTTCAGCTTTTCTTTAACCACTTCAAAGAGAAAGATAACAGACCTCATCAAAATTTCATTTAAGGTCAAACCAGTCTCTGATGTCAATGGTTTTTCACAAGCACAGGCTCAGTCAACAATCAAAACAGACCCAGATTACGTAACAAAGCATGTAATAGTGTGAATTTGTACAGGAACCAAACCTTCATTTATCACAGATAAACAAACATTACGTCAGGAAAAAGCTGCAAGTTAGTTTACTGGGAAAATAATTTTTACAGATCTCAAAAGAAAAATTTTCATCAACTTCTTGATTGAAATATGTATTCACAAATAAATTTCTTACCGTTTCCAATTTGTTTCAAACGTGGCTTACTTTGGTTTATTGTTACCCTCAATTTATGTAGTTCTAGCATTGCCAGCATATTAAAATCTGCTGCTTATTATAAAATTCAATAAAAAATTATACCTAGAACCCAAAAGGCCCCCCAAAAAATATGATTCTAGTCATAGATATTGCCTGGAGATTAAAAAAATGAAAACCAAAATGCTTTATTCGAAATCTTCCACTACCAGATACATATCTAAGAAAGCAAACCTGCAGACTAGCAGAGTTTATAACTTCACCTGGTGTTGTTTTTTCCAGGAAGCAAGGTGCAGAACTGTATTGCCCTATTCATCTCTCATGTTCAAGACATGTTCCTTCTTCAACTCCCTTGCCAAATCCACTAACACCCTTGTGGCTTGAAACTGGTTATTCATGACAGCAAGATGCAATGCATTCTCTCTTTGAACACCCAAATCTTCTAAACAATCAGCATCACAAAAAACAATTTCACTGATCACATCAACCTTTCCTTTAATAGCTGAGTAATGAAGAGGTGTTTTCTTTTCTCTGCCCTCCACCCGGTAAAGTTTCTTGTCAACTTTCATAAGCTCCTTTACAATCTCTACATGCCCATTTGCAGCAGCTATGTGCATGGGACTAAATCCATCTTGATTAAGTTCTTGGGAAAATTCAGGTTTTAACCTCAGAATCTCCTTAACAAAGTCAACGTGCTCGGTTGAGGAAGTGATATGCAGTGGATTGTAAGTAGAGAATAGGAAAGTGTTATGGAGGATTAGAGGATTCTCTGCTAACAATTGGTGGAAGTAGCTGATGTTTTCAGTTTGAGCGGCGTCAAACAATCTTAGGTTCATGTTGGGCAATGCAAATCTGTCTTTCTGTTGAGACTTGTTTTGGATTGGTAGTAGATGGTGTGCACATAAACTGCAGTTTAACATAATCAAGCAAGCTTAATCAAAAGAAATAAAAGGAGTAATCAGGCGAGAATGAATCATCTGGACTTAATCTATTTGGTTCTTAAAATTTTCAAAGAAATTATTTTACATAACTAGTATATGCTGATTTATTATCACATTTTTTTATTAATAATTTAATAAAAATCTCATCATATAAAATTGATTAGCTGAGTAATTCTTTTTTTTTTTTTGTTATTTTAGTGCGAACCCACTAATTAAAATAATTTATCAGTTTCTGTGTTTGAACAGTATGCAAGGAACTGTTTTGTTTGACCGAGTACGTGTTAACAGTTTGATAAAAATTTTAGCATATAATTTTGCTTGTTGATTTAGGTTTTTGTCAAACTATTAATAAAATATAATATGATACAAAGGTGTAATTATTACACAAGTTAATTTTTATAGTTTAGGTACGAACACTAAGCTTAAATAAACTTATCCCAATCCAAAGACTTGACTCTGCTGTTTCAAAGCTAATAATTTGAATTCAATACAGTTGATTGGCAGTCATGTATAGCTGAGAAGAATTTATTAACTATTAAAGAGCTAACCAAGCATTTGCATAATTATGTATGTTTGAAATTAGCCTAAAAGCTCAAGAAGAAAGTCAATTCAGATGTGCTCCAATTCTTCAAACTCTCAGAGTGAAATGCTTCCAGAGCGTCCGATAAAATTGTAAACCCTCTTGAAAATCTTGACCCACCAATCTGATACTATATGAATTTCAGGTTATATTAGGACAAACTCAGAAATGTTATCAAAATTACAAATTCACACTTAATTTCTCTATCAGAAAAAATCTGTTCTAATCAGATTATGTTGACTTGAGCACTAAATGCCCAGTTGGGCAATGATTTCAATTAAGCTCCCTTATCTTTTCAAAAACTCATAAGGAGCAACAGATATTACTGTAAACATTTAGCAGAATTCACCTGCCAGAAAATAAACATACACAAATCAATTTGGAAAGAATGATTGGGCAGTAATTCCGTGGCACCTTAATAAGAAGAGTGCTTAAAGCCCTGGTATTGATTCCAGGTTATATTTCTCAGAGGCTGAAGCTTCGGTCTCTTGGCTCTCCTGCAATTTCGGCTTCTTAATGGCATCAAGAGTTTGCAAATACGTGTATGAAGTACTCCGATTTGATGAAGGAGCTGGATTACTAATTCTACTGGCAAGGAATCGACGGATAAGACCCCTGAGGAATGGAGCCATTGTCTGGGGCTCATATTCTAGGTAGTACATAATTCCTCCCATGCATGCACAAAACAGAGCTACCTGCAAACATTTGGAAGCATGCAATCAAGTGTTCAACAAAATCGACCAATTCAGCTAATTAGAAACATCTTGTAGCATCATGATTGAATAAACAAAACCATCATCTTATCTAAGGCAATTATATTTCCCACCTCCCAAGCACAGAAGGAAAGTTCCCAAAAGATTACTCTTCTCTCTCTATCTCACACACAATAGACACCTAAATAACAATATATATTGTTGAAAGTTTAACTAGAGAGTTTAATAAATGAGATGTATAACTACTTGATTTAAGCTTGACATACTTGTTCTTAAGTTTTAGAAGATATTAGTGAATTCCCAAGGAAAATAAGTAAAAATAACATCAGACAACAAAAAGACACAGTTTTAAGTAGTAGAACATAAATGTGGAAATGGTGATTCACTGTTACGAATATGTAATACCTCTGCATTCTTAATATTAGGTAGCAGATGGCGATTCACTAAAATGTACCATAATGAATCTCCTGCTCGTGGAAGAACATATAGAGCAAGCTCTGCACGCCTAGATTTCTTCTCCAATACCACGGAAAGAGCAGACAGTCCACCTGCAAACCAATACACCAGCTTGTGGTCCTTCGATGAAACTTTTCTGTGCATGCATATGACCCCCTTCATCACAAAAATAAAGTTGACAATATATTCATGCTAACTTTCTGACAAAAAGGACGTGAATAACAGATTAAGCAAACAGCTACCTGAAATATCCCAACAAATGCGGACAAAAAAGCCGTAGATCGAACTGCACCCTTAACAGCAAGCCAGGAGGTATGAATGGGGGACTCCATGAACTAACATGAAACATCATATTCCATGAACATAAATAAAACTTGTAGAAGGTCCATACTAGAATCAAACATAATTTTTTATCATAGCTAGCCAAGGCCAGAACAGAATCACTTTGTAAGACAAACATAAATAAAAGCCTTAACTGAAATTCTGCATAACAAAACCGAACTTTTCGGTGATTATTTGAAAAGTTTATAAGAAAAAATCATTTTTACCAGAATAAAGTTAAGATGATGAAATGGGCAAAAAAATATGGGAAAATAAAATGATGAGTCCTACCAATTGTAAAATAATATTTATCAAATGGATAACAAATTCAAACTAACACATTAACCATTTCGATCTGCATCATGTAAGAAAAAAGCAGGAGTAAATCTGCAGCAGTCTCATAAGGCTCCATTTAAATTATCAAAAGGATAAGCGGCTAAGGGTATCTAACTCTATTTATTGCTTCGGACTCAATTTGATAGGAAATAGTATTAGCCACTCACTAGAATAGTATAAAAATTCATCTAAATATCCTCTTTTCTCATGTATACTAACCATCACTCTTCCAGCAGCAGCCACTTAGCTGCTACTGACCACCATCAGCCACTGCTGACCACTATCAGCAGTTGATTTACATCGAAGACCACTGACCTTGCTGATCAACATGAACCACCTCCAGTTGCCATCAACTACTGCCAAATTCACCTATTAATCACAAGGACCACTATTGACAGCCAATGATCACCAGGGGCTGCAAACTGCAACAGACCA